CATTTTTAATCGCACATCTGCAAAATAAAATATTCTACAATTATCTCAATTTTTTTTGAATAAATCTAATTGTATAACATTGGTTGACAACAATGGTTGACAATCTTGTGTTATCAAAATCTTAGTATGCGATGTAGAACATATTTTTTTTTTTTAGAAATGGATGGATATGATGATGCTAAATAGGATGTTGTCAACCAATGTTGCTAACCATTGTTGTACATGTAGCATAATTCAAATTTTTTCCTATTTTTTAATCACACATTTTCTTAAAAATCATTATTCAAAAAAAATTTTTTTTTTTTTCCCACCTTTTTTTTTTTTTTTTTTTTTGAGTTTTGTAGATTACTCTTTTTTTCAAGACTCGACTCTACTTATCACAAGCTGGCTTGGGCTCGAGCGACGCTCCAAAATAGGGCTTGGCTCGAGCCACGAACTGGCCCAACTCGGGCTTTTCTCGGACCGAGTAACAGGTCGCTTGAGCTGGCGAGTCACATCGACACCCCTATGTACATGTATATAGTAGAACTACATCTAAAATAACTTAATAGGCTCACCTTCATATTGAAGTTATGCTCGGTATCAAAAGGCTGTAAATAAGTTTAATAAATGGCAAACCACATCTGGGTATATGGTATTATTAAGCCTTATTTGACAACTATTATTTGAAAATTATTTTTACTACATATTCATTTTCAACTACACAGATACATAATAAAATATTTTGCAAGTAAATTCTAAGTTCTCCAGTTTTTAACCACAAATTCTCTTAAATATTACTATTCAAATTTCTTTTCCCGAATAATGATTGTCAAACAATGGCTAAAATTCACATCACTCTCAATGTTTAAAAGAAAAAAAGGCTGGGCCATGCACCCAAATATTGATTGGGTTTTGTAGAACATGATAATGATATCATAACAACAATTAAGAAATACAACACCGTACGAACTACTAAAAATTCCTCAAATGGGGGTTAGAAGTTGAATAATTGGGCGCAATGTTATTCTATGATGTGAAATTCTCATTGTGTAAATTTTTCTATTTAATCAGATTCCATTGATAAGTCTATCTATTAATAAATATAAAATTAAATGGTGGAGCCTCAATTCTGACTATTATATTTTGTATTAATTTATTAAAGGTGTAGTCGTAATGGTGTTTTATTTATTTATTATTTACTTTTCTAAAAGAGTTAATTGCAATTTATTATGACATTATTTTAGTTCTTATTTAATATTTATTATCCTATCACTTGAAAACAATGACTCAGCGCCCATGTTTTTTAAAACCATCTGATTGCAACATTTCAAACCAAAATTTTGTGCCAATCGACAATTCTACCATTTGAATATTTTTGCGTTCTTGCCAAGGACAAATCATTTCTTCCTTCGCAAATATAGATTTATAGTTTGAATTACGATGGTTCGAGCGGGGCTGTCATTCCATTCCCCCCACCAAATCTAGGATTTTTCGACCCATGTCCCGCTTAAGACAGGGGCGGGATGGGTCAGGGCACACCATTTATACTGGATGACCGATACCCGTCCCCTCGAGCTCAAGTAGGGGCAAGATCCCCCACAACATCCCAATGAGGCAAGGAATTCCCGTCCCATTCAGATCGGGTCGAGGCCCACAAGTCGCGTGTCAATCGATTTTTTTGTGATCCTTAATTTGGAGTGGAATTTATTCTTGCCACTAGTACCAGTAACGCTTAAATGCTCTAGCAACAATCATGTACCTATACTCCATTTCTCACGTACCCAAGTTTCATGAATTCAAAAGAAAATAGCTTAACAAGTATGAAGGCGGTGGGAGGTGACGGAGAGAGGAGACTGGAGAGGACTTGCGCCTATATTTAGGGACATGCGACGGTAGGGAAAAGAAATTGATGGGAGGAAGAGAGAAATGTCGATGGTGAATCCCATGAAGATAGTGGAGGAGACTAGACTAGACTAGACCGAGATGACTACGATCTGTTCTTGAATCTTGAGGAACTGAAGAAACGTGAAATGATCATATTGAAAGCTACATAACAAAGTACTTCTCTGTGGGGAGTCAAATAATCAACACTATGCCCAATATTATTTGACTTAGACAAATCTTTTGCTTTCACATAGAAAATTCCTCTGGTCTAATCTAGCAGGTCAATTTTGGGTATTAGGCAATATGACCAGTGTTTCCACCAAGATAATGGTATCATATTCTTGTAATACTTTTCAAAAATCACTCCCTCATTTCAGCAATTCAATGAACATTTTCAAGAAGTCATTCCATGTTTCGCTTTCTACTTCTTATTGTTTAAACTATGGAGAAGTATAAAGTACTAAAGTCGAAAAGAACAGTCCGCAAGAAACCTTGATTTTCGTTGTTTCCAAGTTTCATCTAGCATACGACATCAAGGATGACATCTAAGATGACACTAAAATTAGGCAGAAAATCCGAGCTCAAAAACAGATGTTCCATTTAAGCAGGCCAGGGGAAGACTAGTACCATATGTATAGCTAAGATTTTGCTAGTCAAATTAGCTCTAATTTTCTATTCTTTCACGCAAGTAATACCAAAGAGACTGATTATTTGATGGGAAGAAATACATATTTCATCAAGCATGGGAGAATGGCCATAGACTGGCTCTTTCTTGAGGGACAAAATCCATAACCATAGAAATTGAAGCTCTATATAACTACTTAAGAATAAAGAAAGAGAAGAACAATAAACTCATTTGTCTAGAAGAATTTTACATCCTGATAACAAATTCCTATTTTTATGATCAAGAGTATTTGGAAGCTAGATACAGTTGGCATCTGCAATAATTCTAAAATCATAGTGATAGCATTTATTGTTATTTCCTTTCAATGAAATTACTGATGCGTAAACGAAAAAGAATGGAACCAAACAAGATACTTGGTTTCTTCGATTTAACATTTCCAAGCACAATTGTTCTGGGGTTGGTTAAAATAATCAATATATATCTAAATTCTATTATTTCCTGACAACAATAATTGACCGTGAATATTTAAGAAGTAACACAAATACAACGATATTCATATAAACAAATGAAACAAAAACAAAACTGAAAAAGTACAAACAAGACATGCTTACAGGCAGAAGCATTCAGGAAGAGAGGCAAAGGCTATCCCTGAAGAGTTGGAATTGGTTATACCGTTGATTGATATCCACTGTCCTCAGAAATTTATGTGCTGATCTTTTAAAGGAATCACGACCTCAGCTAATCTTGGAGAAACCAGAACCTCTTCCCGAACGCTCCACAAAGAATACAAAGAATGATTTCCTACACGGTAAGGGGGAAAACTCAATTTCATTCAGCTTACTGAGATCTCCTTAATTGAAGGGATACCGCATGTCCCTCAAAGAAATCCAAGACTGCATTCTCAAGGTCCTCAACAGAGTACTTGATGTAATTCTCAGGGTGTCTTCCGCTCTCAATATGGCATCCAAACCGTCCAAGAAATGATCTATAAGCCGGAATAACCTTATCAGTTATGGAAATCCTAAGCTCCTCGCGGAGCTGAGGGTCAGGTACCATCCAAGTGGCTTGAGTCTTGTGCACCTCCTCAAACATACCATTGAACGCCTTAAACCTCTCTCTCAAAGCACTCTTGGACACACCAGATGAGAAACTCCCACTCACATGCAGTCCCTCATCTCTCAAGCAATACAAGACCTTCACTAAGGTCGACCGCTGGTAACTAGTTGCAGCTATCCGGTATTTCCCGGTTAACTTTTTCAGATACTCGTCCCCAATCATCTCCCTCAACTCAGGCGACCCTTTTATCTTTTGAACAATATAATGAACATTATTCATGATAAACAAATGAGACAAGGATGCATCCCTATAATGCTTAGATTTGTCCTCCAAATTAAACTGCAAAATCACAATTATCCAAATCAAATGAAGAGACAATGGGGTTACCTCTCCCTCAAACTCCAAGAAATCCATATCTGGCATGTTCATATCCCCTGAGTATCTCGACCCAGTCGAGGGCTTAGATACAATTAATTCAAGCAAAGTCTGCTTATAATCCGATATCAAACTAATATAATTCATCACATATCTAGTCAAGGGATGAAGAGTCCCTCCAGGCACCTGAACTCTTGATGGCTCCTGAAGAACCCTATTCTCAAATTCCGATAGTATCCCTCTCGAGGCCTCGGCCAACCTAGACAATATCTCTACCGCCTCGACCCTAATCGATTCAGTGGATTTCGACTCGAATACAATTTCAATATCAGGCAATAAATCAGACAAAGCATCATGAAGATCCAACATCTTAAACAATTTCTCAGGTGATCTTCTACTTATACTAATTGCTTGCGCAAAATTAAACAACTGAACTGCAGGACCTTTAATGGTTTCCATAAAACAAGCATCATCAGTAGAAGTACCCAAACCTTCAAATATTTGCTTGCACTGCATCTTCTCACTCGCAAAAAGTACCCGAACACAGATTTTCGAAGCTCGAATCCACCTCCGGATCTTCGTCTCCAGAATCTCCCACTCAAGCCTCTGTATATCCCCGATGCTCAATTTCTCGATTCCCAGCTTCTTCAAGCTCGCGTCCACCGCAGATTTTCGTACGCTGCCATATACCTGAATACACTCCCTCAAGTACCCAGAAGCAATCATACGCTCCGCTATACACCGCAGATCGTAGACAGCTTCACTTGGTACGAGATCTACCTCTCGAATACTACTCATAGCCTTGTAACTAGAGCTTGTACAGCTACTACTGCTCTCTAGATGCTCCAACTGTTTAACAAGACTCCCTTCAATATCATCCTTAAATTCCACTTCCTCCGAGATCGAGCTAATAAACTCACTGCCATCCGAAGAACTTATAGAATGATGCGTGGACGAGTTACTGAACTCGGTGAGTGACTCATTTTCAATAGGATAAGTATGTGAAAGGAGGATGTTACGAAACTCGTCTTCAAGCCGAGCCATGGCGATCTGAAGGGCAGAGGAGGAGTTCGAATCAGAGAGGGTGGTGGAGTTCACGGACTTCTGTAGCTCGTCTACGGCGTGGAGATAACGGTCGATCTCGTGGCGGTCGCTATCAAAGATCATTTTTTCACGGGCTTCCTCCGCTGGCATAGAGTCCCACCGGAGGATTATCTTCTCCGGCGTTTCTGGGGAGGTGCTTACTTCCGGCGGTTCCATGTTAAAGATAATTTTATTTTATTTTTTGTTTTGAGGGAAAAATGGGTAGAGAGATGATTGACGATGATGACACAGAATTGAAAATGGTGGAATTGTCTATATATTACTAATTAAACACAGGATTGAAAATGGTGGAATTGTCTATATTACATAAATACTAAGGAAAAAAAATTAAAATCTAAAATTTACTTAATAATTAAATTTATAAGAATATATTTTATTAATTTTTATTAAAATTTACTAAAAATCCAATTTTAATTCTCATCAAACAAACAGAGAGCTAAATATTTTTCTAATGTTTAAATTTTTGATAATTTAATTCCAGTTCGAAAGGGTTGTTCGATTTCATCCATCGAACAATTTTTTTTTTTTTAAAGTTTAAATCATATTTATAAAAGAAAAAAAATTAATTAAAATTAATAAGTAAATAGAGGATCATGACAAGAAATTAGGACATTTATTAGCCTTGTTTGGTGTGGAATAAAATCAAATTATTATTATATTTTGATAAAAAAAAATGACAAACTGTGCGGTTGAAGAGTTTTGAATCTAAAAAAATGTGTAGTTAAAATTAATTATTGCCTTTAATTTGAAATTTTAATTGATTTAATCCCAATCAATCAGGGCTTAATCTCGTCCCCATCCTTACCAAGCCTTTTGAAAATCTCTATTGAGGACAAGGATGGAATGGACCGTCCACTCCGTTGTCATCTCTAGATATCTAGTGAAAAATTACGTGTGATATTTTAGTTTGCAAACAAGTAGACTGTGATGCAATGATGTATTTTTCATTAGTCATATTAATTGATTTAGACGAAATGACCAACATGAAATTTTGTAACTTCAAATGTATTGAATCCATATACAAATATTTATAAGTCCTTTTTTTTCCTTTTAAGTGAGAAACTGGTTTGAGATTTACTGATGTAAATTTGGGAGAAGGGTTGTTGAAACAATTGGATGAAAGTCGTATAATAAGATTTTTGTGGGGCCGTAGAGAAATATTCCAAATTGTGGGGCCGGTTGTCAGTTTTGATTTATCAAAGCATATAATAATTACAAAAATAATGGACTTGAGAATAATTCTAATTTTGTCAATTCACCCGTTATGTTTTCCAATTTATCCCAAGAATAGAATGTTGAGAATGGACTACCAAAACAAATTGAGGGTTCGAAATAAGAATCAATATTTCGGATTTTATTCATTTTGATCCGCGTCATGTTTGGTAATAATTGAAATCTTGTATACAAGCAAACACATTACTTTATTTTATATAGGAGTCTGAAAGACTCGATCTCGATTCTGATTCGAACGAAATAATAATTTGATTTAGTTTATTTCGCGTCCTTGAATATCATTTTAATTTTGTTCTGATAATATACTCAACTCTGCCTTAATTACTTCATATTTTTCTAACATTTTTTTTTTTTTTTTGGAATCATGACCATTGGATGATGCATATTGAGACTTCTTTGGTCCTATATACTCATTTATGTGATAAATTCTTTCTTTTTTGTGCATTTACTTTCTTCATTAAAATGTTGGTGATTGCCCTGAAAAATTCAACTCTAACGTCAAGACCAAATTGAAAAGAATAATACTATCTAACATCAATAGTGCTTTAGGTGACTACACTTTATACATTCAATTAAATGAGTCGTGTGATTTTGCATTGAAATGAATTTATCATTATAGTGTCATGTAATTGCTACTCAAATTGGTGCTTAACACCAGTGATGATGAATAACATTACTGATTTGAAAATCATACTCTATAAATGAAGGTGGCAAATGGCTTTAACTACGACAATAAATGCTCTCGATATATCACTCTCATATGACTACAAGATGAAAATGTTAGCCCTTGTTTGAGCCAACATTTTGGGGAAAAATGTATTTTGAAATAGTTATTTTTTGAAAAATGTGTAATTAAGAAAAAGAAATTTGATTTACGTGTAAATATATTTTATTGAAAAATGTGTGATTGAAATTGAGTTTTTGAAAAAATTGAGCTCAACAAGGGCTTAATACTTTCAGAATATGAAAATGTTACTTTCTTACAATATTGAATTGACATGTCTTATTTATTCATACTTGACTACCAACCAAATAGTAGATCCTACATATTAAATGCACATATAAATTCAACATTAGTAGGAAGTACGAGAATTATTTTTCTTATGCACTAAATGTGAAATTTAAAGAAGATGAAATTTCCCCATGTGACCCTTAGGGAGAAAATGAATTGTGTCTATTACTACTAAATTTCTTAATAATATCCTTCTTCAAATATGCGTCCGACTAACATAATTACCGTCATTTTCCCATAAAATTAGGATTTTACTTCGCTAATTACACATTCTCTTAAAAATAAAGAATAATGATACTTGTAGTCGCTCACTGCAGCAATCGCTCTACGTGGCACACACATGTCAAGTGTGTATTTGATGCATTAAATGTGATAAAAAAAACTATCACATTGATGCATCAAATAATTACATGACATGTGTGTGTCACATAGAGCGATCGCTCTACGTGGCACACACATGTCAAGTGTGTATTTGATGCATTAAATGTGATAAAAAAAACTATCACATTGATGCATCAAATAATTACATGACATGTGTGTGTCACATAGGACGACTGCTGCAGTAAGCGACTGCAAGTAGCATTACTCAAAAATAAATTATCTACTACCCACATTGGCCAACATTCACGTGCTTATGTGCATGATCTCACGTACACAAAATAATTAGACAGCCATTTATTATAGTGATTGAAAAGGATTAAACACAATTATTAAAACTCGATCGATTAATGATGCATTAATTGGGTGATAAGTTTTAGGGATCTTGTGTCTAGAACTAGCAGCTGGCACCTTTAAGTACAGCAAGCACGAGATTCCACAGCCCATTAATCTGTTGCAAATCAGAGTTTGCACGAGTCGTGATTTTCATATCCCAATAAACAAATTTTCATCCTATTTGGTAAGGTGTACGGGACGGAATTTAATAGTACCATGAACATTTTTGGCTTTTTTTTTTTCCTTTCGTAAAGACTAATATTTAGAGTTTAGGGTAGAGAGTTGCTTTTAGGTCCACCGCGCTAATATGTCGTCAAGGCTTGCAAAATTCTTTTGCAAGAAGGAAGTTTTACTAATGAAGTATCACTTGTTTGAAGATGGATTTGTGGGTTTGAAGATGGTGAAAGGGGGGATTCAAGAAATAACAAATAAGAGGTTGCCTCTGTTCTTGAACCTCATTGAATAAATAAAAATAATAATCAAAAGAGTAATGTTATTCAATATCATTTGTGTTAATGGGTAAAATTCTACATTTAATAAAGATGAAAATACAAATCATTTATAAATGATTGTACGATTCCTCTTAATAAGGTTGACATTTTAAAATGAAATTTCAAATCTTAATATGGATTCGATTTGATTAAGACTCAAAAAAGAGCACACGTGTAGGAGTCGAACCCTAGTTCTTTCTTTTGTGCTCCCAAAATTATTATTGTAAAATCGTGTTTTGGAGAAACACACTTTTATTAGTGTAAAGCATTTTCTCTTGGATGATGGACACGTGCACTACTTCTGGCCGTTGGATGGTGAAACATTTACTTGGGCTTGATGACTTTTGGGTTCCGGAGATGGATTATTTATTCTAGAGTCTTTTGGGCTCCTGCGTTTTTGAGAGAAAAGGGAGAAAAGAAGGAAAAGGGGCTAGGGTTTGCTGCCTTTCGTTTGATTCAGTTAAAATCTCTTATTTTAAGTAACTGTGTGATAGTGTAGACTTTATTTGTATAATATTCTGAGTGAATATTGTGAGAATCTATGTGATTTCTCTGTTGTTAGTTCTAGTTTTGTTCGAAGGGTTTTCATGAAGATATCTTTGTGAATCTCTATAGATCTGTCACTGTATTTAAAAGATAAGTATCTTGTTTCGTATTTCTGAACATTTGTAATTCTTGTTGCCATTTTGGGCTGTTTTAGTGTAACCGAGCATAATCCTTTTTTTGGATGCTCAACAGGAGATGTATGTGTTAGAAGCGGTCATCGAACCTCCGAGACTATGGCCGAAATAACTCTTTGGTGTTCAACTTTAATTTTCTGTAGTTTATTTTTTGTTTGATTCGATTAATCTTATTTCTCGACGCTTATATCGTGTGGTCCTAACTTTTCATTGGTATCAGAGCCTGAACTGAGGAATAAGATACTTGAATCTTTAAAAAAAGAGGCAGATCTGCTTCAGATCCTAAAGTTTCTGGATCTACTTTTAAGAAAATCAAAAAAGAAAATGAATTTATGTAAACTCCCTTGGTGAGATCTTGAACTTTTGTAAAGTTTACTTTCTAGAGTTAGGGTTTCTTAATTATTTCCTTGATTTTTCGTACACCATTGAAACTCCATTGTGACTAATCTTTGTCCAGTGACTTCTGCAAGACTCCTGAGTGATTAAAAGAAACTGAGTAATGAATGGATACTTAACTCTGGCTGTTCTTTTCACATGTGTCAAAATAAAAACTACTTTATTAATTTTGAAAAAAACCAAATGGAGGGCAAGTTATAATGAGAAATAATTTTGCTTGCAAAGTGAGTGGAATATGGACTGTTAAACTGTTATTAGAATATGGAAATCTTATGTTTCTAAAAGAAACCAGATATGTCCCAGATTTAAAAAGTTACTTAGTGTCCTTAGACATTAGATGATATGGAATTTGACATAAATCTAGGGAAAGTACATAACTAAATTCCTAGGGGGAATGACTTGATTGCTTATGCCCCTAAGAGACATGGTCTGTATTGTTTGAATGCTAAACCTTTGTTGGCTTTGACTGCTTCTGCTATATCTGAAAACTTTACTTTGACAAAATTGTGGCATGAAAGACTTGGTCACATTAGTAAAAAAAAGTTCGAATTTTTTGCAATCAAAAGGTGTTTTTGAAAAATTAAACATTAGTGATTTTGGTTCTTGTGAACAATGTACTATAGGAAAACAAGTTAAACTTCCTTTTCCCACAGAAATTCATAAATCCAAACAAAAACTTGAGTACTTGTATGTTGATTTATGGGGTCTTGCTGTTTTGTCTACCTTATCCAACTTCAAATACTACCTATTAATAATTGATGATTTCTCAAAGAAAATTCGGGTTTAAGGACAGGAAAACCTAGGTTGAAAATCAGACAGATCTTAAAATAAAAATTTTAAGAACAGATAATGGTTTGGAGTTCTGTAACCATGAACTCAATAATTTTGGTAAAGAGCATGACATTTTGAGGCATAGAATTATCACTTACACATCACAACAAAATGGAATAGCTGAAAGAATGAACAGAAATTTGCTAAATAAAGTTAGATGTATGCTTTTAAGTTCTGGTTTGCCTAAAATATTTTGGGGTGAAGCAGTTAAGATTGCACCTTACTTGATTAATATGAGTCCTACAAGTGCTTTGAATTTTTTTGTTCCAGAAGTTGTGTGGTCAAATAGCTCTATGAATTATTCTTGCCTTAAAGTTTTTGGTTGTGCTGCATATGTTCATCAAAATATTGGCAAGTTAGAAGCTAAATCACTTAAATGTGTTTTTTTAGAATATGAAGAACACGTAAAAAGGTATATATTGTAGGTTAAATCTGAAAAGGGTTACAGAGTTATAATTAGAAAAAATGTCATTTTTAATGAATCTTTGATGTCTTGTCTTGAAGGAAAAATGGATGTTTTAACTATAAAAATGCTCAAATTGAGGTGGAGTCTTCTATTAATCACTAGGATACTCCTGGATCTACTATTGAGGATACTGAACGTGAAGAAAATATCATTTTGCATGAACTAAAACTGAACAAAAAATTGATCATGTTGATCAATTTGATCCTGCAGCTTTACCTCTTAATGAGTATCAACTCACGAGGGATAGAGAGAGGAGGCAAATTAGACCATCCACCAGATTTGACGGTGATAATTTTGTTTCTTTATTTACTTATCAAGAACTTTCAGAAAATGAACCAAACTCGTATGATGGTGCCATAAATTGTAAAGAAAGTGGAAACTGGAAAGTTGCTATAGAAGATGAAATGGCCTCACTGCTTAAAAATAAAACATGGGAACTTGTTGAAAGGCCTAAAGGGTAGAAACTAATAGATTGTAAATGGATCTATAAAATTAAATAGGGAGAAGGTGGGAGTAATAATATTAGATACAAGGCTAGACTTGTGGCAAAATGTTTTGCTCAAAAAGAGGGTATTGATTACACTAAAATATTTTCTCCTGTTGTGAAATATACTACTATTAGATGTTTGCTTGCCCTTGTTGCTCAATTTAAATGGGAACTTGATAAGCTAGGTGTTAAAACTGTTTTCTTGTATCGTGAACTTGATAAAATTATTGACACGAGATAGCTTGTTGATTTGAAAAAAGGTAATCCTGAAAATACTGTGTATTTGTTAAAGAAATCTTTGTATAGTTTAAAGTAAGCCTCCAGACAATTGTACAAAAGGTTTGATACTTTTGTTCTAAAATTTGGCTTCAAAAGAAGTCAATATGACGCTTGTTTGTATTGCAAAGGTAATGGAGGTAAAATTTCATGTATTTGGTCTTTTATGTGAATGATAAGATGCTTGCTAGTTGCAATAAGGCTGAAATTGAAAATATTAAACTAAAGTTGAAATATGAGTTTGATATGAAAGATCTTAGCTCTGCCAAGAAAATCTTAGGTATGCAAATTGTAAGGAATAAAGAAAAGGACTTCTTGTTTTTAAACTAACATGATTATGTGATTAAAATTATGAAAAAATTCAACATGTATGACTGCAAACCTGTAGCCTTACCTCTTGCAAATCATTTCAAACTATCTTCAGATTGTTGTCCAAAACTTGAAGGTGAATTGATAGGATGTCCAGAATTCCTTATGCTAATGCTATAGGTTCTATAATGTATTTAATGAATTGTAAGTGGCCTGACCTTGCACATAGTATTAGTATATTAAGCTTATTTATGAGTAATCTAGGAGAAGATCACTGGAATGCCTTAAAATGGTTACTAAGGTACCTAAAAGGTACTGCTAATTTAGGCTTAATGTTTAAATCAAATAAGGAGGGTATGATTTTAAAGGGATATACAGATTTTGACTTTGCTGGTGATAGAGATAATAGGAAATCAACTTCATCCTCTTTTTATGTATTATGTGGTACTGTCATAAGCTGTAAGTCTCAATTACAAAAGATTGTTGCATTGTCATCTTCTGAAGCTGAATATATTCTGTTACTAATGCTATAAAAGAAGGAATGTGGTTGAATGGATTGTTGTCTGAACTTGGTTTTGTTGATGCCCAAACTGTTCTATTTTCAGATAATCAAAGTGCTATTCATCTTAATAAAAATTCTATGTTTCATGATAGAACAAAGCACATTGATGTTAAATATCACTTCATTTGAGATATTTTTCTAAGGGAGTAATAAAAATTGAAAAGATTGCAACTCAGAATAATCCATTTGATATGAGTACTAAAGTGATTCCCTTAAACAAGTTTCTGAATTGTCTTAAATTTCTTTCCATTAATTCGTTGTGATTCATATATAGGTATATAGAGCAAGTGAAAAATGAAATGTGAAAATGCTCCTGGATGCACTGACGTCCGAATTCTGGTAGCAAGGTGGAGAATGTTAGAGTTAAACCCTAGTTCTCTCTTTTGTGCTCCCAGAATTATTATGGTAAAATCGTGTTTTGGAGAAACACACTTTTTTTTAGTGTAAAGCGTTTTCTCTTGGATGATGGACACATGTATTACTTCTGGCCGTTGGATGGTGAAACATTTACTTGGGTTTGAAGACTTTTGGGTTCTTGAGACAGATTATTCATTTTGGAGTCTTCTAGGCTCTTGCGTTTTTGAGAAAAAAGGGAGAAAAGAAGGAGAAGGGGGTAGGGTTTGCTGCCTTTCATCCGATTCACTTAAAATCTCTAATTTTAAGTAACTGTGTGATAGGATAGACTTTCTTTGTATGATATTCCGAGTGAATATTGTGAGAATCTGTGTGATTTCTCTGTTGTTAGTACTAGTTTTGTTCGAAAGGTTTTCATGAAGATATCTTTGCGAATCGCTGTAGAACTGTCGCTGTATTTGAGAGATAAGTCTCTTATTTCGTCTCTTTGAACATTTGTAATTCTTGTTGCCATTTTGAGCTGTTTTAGTGCAACCAAATATAATCATTTTCTTGGATGCTCAATGGGGGATGTATGTGTTAGAAGCGACCACCGAACCTCCGAGGCTACGGCCGAAATAATTCTTTGGTGTTCAACTTTAATTTTCTGTAGTTTATTTTCAGTTTGATTCGATTAATCTTGTTTCTCGACGCTTATATCGTGTAGTCCTAGCCTTTCAACACGGATTTAAAGATTGGTTTACTCAAACGAGCTATTATCTTGCGGGGCATATTAAGGGATAAAACTCCACATCGAATAAAGATAAAAAAATATGGAAAATTCTATTTGTACATAATTTTTTACCTAATATTTTATCGAATTGACAAGTGACGGCCCTTTTGAGCTGTTTTAGTGCAACCAAACATAATCATTTTCTTGGATGCTCAATGGGGGATATATGTGTTAGAAGCGACCACCGAACCTCCGGGGCTACGGCCGAAATAATTCTTTGGTGTTCAACTTTAATTTTCTATAGTTTATTTTCAGTTTGATTCGATTAATCTTGTTTCTCGACGCTTATATCGTGTAGTCCTAGCCTTTCAACACGGATTTAAAGATTGGTTTACTCAAACGAGCTATTATCTTGCAGGGCATATTAAGGGATAAAACTCCACATCGAATAAAGATAAAAAAATATGGAAAATTCTATTTGTACATAAATTTTTACCTAATATTTTATCAAATTGACAAGTGACGGCCCACTATTGGGGGGCGCCTGCGTCACTTGTCAATTCGATAAAATATTAAGTAAAAAATTATGTACGTGTAGCATAGCTCAAAAAATATAGTCCAATTTATAAGAATTTGGATTAGTCATCTTAATAAAATTGACCTTTTAAAATGAAATTTTAAGTTTTAATATGATATTAAAGTATATTAAGTTCAAACGAGCAACTTGATCTGATTAAGACTAAAAGAATGAGCATGCGAATTTCAAGATGTTTCTACTCAAACGAGCCTCCATCTTAATGGGACATGTTAAGGGATAAAATCTCATATCGAATAAGATAGAAACATAGACTAATTCATAAACGATTGGACAACTTCTCTTAATAAGGTTCAAGTTTTAATATCTAACACCCATCTAGATGACAACTATATGACATTAAATGATATGTTCACTTAAATGCATGTCACATGATTCATTTAATTGAACATATCAAGTGTGACCATCTAAACTGGTATTCTAGCATCACCGATGCTAAATAGCATTATTTATGATGAAAAAGAGAAAAACTTGACTTTTCAACTTCAATTTTTCTCGATAAATATACAAATAGTAGTGAAAATGAGAGGTCCAACATATGAACACGCACAAAGAGTTGTGATATTTCAACCGCTTCTCGAATTTGTAAATAAAGTGTGTTATTTTTGCTAATAGTTTGAAGGGGTTTTAATTCATATAGTAAATATGGAAAAATGTTCGACGCTTTTTCTTTTACATTTTTCAAATAGCCAGTGCTTCTGTTTATTGTACAAAACATGTATGTATTAATGTATATATGTGTTACGTAAAATAATAACTATACAAAAAATGTTGAAATTGCAATACTAAGTGGGATGTTGTTTTCTAGGAGCCTTCTCTAGCTGTAAAATAAGATATTCTAGGCTAAGATCCCATGCAGAGATACAAAATTAACTGGCTACTTGAATCTTTCAGTGTCGAATTCAGTTATGTCGAGCGCTCGTTGCATTTCATTTTGCTCAAGAATATGTGCCTTAGCTCGTCTCCTTTTCTTTGCTTGGAAACGAATCAAGATGTGTCGAACGCAAAACTATTAAGCCCTGATCTGTCTGCAGCGCTGTCTATTCTTCTCCCGGCTGTATTAGTTTCTAATGCCGTTGATTGGGATGCAGCAAATCCATCTCTTAACGATGGCATAACTTGAAATGTTCTGGCCTCTTGATCTCCCTCAATGGGAATCCCTTCTATCCTCCTAATGGCTTCTGGAATGTCTAAACGTTGTTCGGGGTTATTTTCCGTGCAGGCTGCACCAATGTGGAGGAGTTGCTCCATTTCGCCTATTGAATTTTTGGAGCTCGCAATATCTGGATCATATAGTTCACCTTCTCGTCCTTCAGCAATAGCAGATTTTACCCACTGCACTAAATCCACCCCACCTTTGCCATTATTGTGACATTGAGAAGGGAATTTACCTGTAAGAATCTCAAATATTAAGATTCCTAGACAATAAACGTCGGATTTTGGTGACAAAGGGTGATGAAGCATGGCCTCTGGAGACTTGTACGCGACTAGCACCTGTGAACCTTGAGTGCTATTAATCAAGGAACAAAATCCATAGTCGGTAAGTAATGGTTCGTATGTTGCAGTCAGCAGGACATTGCTCGATTTCAGATTACCATGGGGTAGTTCAAGTGATGTGAGCTCAGCATGTAGATAGCCTAGTCCTCTCGCGATCCCTTGAACTATCATTAACCGAACAGGCCAGTTCAACTCAGCATGGGAAATTCCTCGATCACCTGAAGAAGTAGGAGATCGTTTAGATTAAAATTCAGCAAGTTGTAACAGTGAAGTTTTTAGTCAATATCAATAGAACTCATTCTGGCGCATCAGATTAATTAATTCATACCATGCAATAGGTAAAGTAAACTGCCTTTGGGAATAAACTCATTGACCAATAGCTTCTCGTCTTTACGGTAGTGGTAAGCCAGCGGTGTCAACACATTCCGGTGTTTTAGTCTTCCAATGCGCCTCATTTGAGCGTCGAATTGATCATTTCCCATTTTATTCATCTCTTTAATCCTCTTCACAACTACTGTCAATCCACTGCCCATGGTTGCCTTGTATGAAGATCCTAATGTCCCACTTGCGAGGACCTCCGCAGCAGCCTTCATCAAATCTGCCAATCCAAATTCACCTTTCTCGTCGTTCACAACTATCAAATCCGCGACACCTCTCCCACGAGTCGAACCCTTTCTACTCGAGCTAAGTTTGCTAGAGCCCAACCCCTTTTGGCTCAACTCTAAATCCTTCTTCCCGACACTAGGTGCTCTAAAACCAACTGAATCGTCAAGATTTTCCTTAATCCTAACATCAGTAGGCTCTTGCCTTCTCCTCATCACGAATATCCCCACCGCCATTGCCAAAAGCACAACTATAACGACTACTAGCAACCAAATCGAGATCCTTGTATTCTCTTTATCAACAATTTTTTTGTGGGATAACGGACTAATTGATCCTGCAGATGGATCACAAGCCTTATCTATATTTTCTCCACAGAGCCCTGCATTTCCCTTAAATGAACTTGCATTAAATTTCACCAATCCAGGGGGGATTACCCCTTCCAAATTATTATTAGACAGGTCAATTGAGATCAAACTAGGCTGTTCAAACAAAGGAATAGTACCCGAAAATTGATTATTTTCGAGATGCACCTCAATTAAATGTGACAATTGGACTAATGACGATGGAATTTCACCTGTAAATTTGTTCCCAGAAAGCCAAACTTTCTTTAATCCACTCATCGTGGTAAAATAATCCGATGGAATTTCTCCTGAAAACTGGTTACCTGATAAATATAAGCCCTTTAAGGCTCCCATTCGATGAAACTCCGGTATGGGACCCGAGAAGGAATTTGACATTAAGCTGAGACTTCGAATGCCTGTAATATTCACCAATGCATCGACATCTATCTTTCCTGATAGTCCCATATTCCCAAGGCGTAGCCCGGTGACTGCACCATTGTCACAAGAAACTCCGATCCAATGTCGAGTTTTATCGCAGGCCTCGGTGCCTGGCATCCAAGAATCAAGAGCTTTTGTGTCTGTAAATGATGCTTTAAGCTTCAACAAAGCTTCAGAATCAGTATTGGAACTTGTTGAGGCAAAATTGATCCAAAAAACATAGAAGAAAATTTGTGATCCAAGAACATGAATAATGGCCATTTATAATTTCTTTGATTATAAATGTTTTTTTCAGGGTTGATTTTTGGGATATGAGATTTACAATTCTTTGATTATATTTGTTGTTTTGATTTTCGAGATGATTTTTTTTTCAGGGAAAATGAAGGCGAACCTGTGCAAAAGAGCCTCAGAAAGAGAAAAAAACCTGAACCTTTAGAAAAAAAGGTAATGGATTTTGGTTTCCAAAAATACCAGTGGAAAACCGTTAGTCATGAAAGAAGTTGCAACCGCAATAACTACCTCCACAATTCCACAAATCTATCCTGCGAACTTAATCCCTATGCGAAGTACAAAAGCGTGGAGGCAGCCAAAGCAAGAAGGAAGGCTCGCAAAAGAGGGAGGCAAACCACTCTCAATGATGGTGGGGGTAAAAACCGTTATTTTAATACATGTGGATAATCCAAAAGTCATGACTTATGTTGTCGGGTAACACGTGAATATATAACAAAATTAGTTATAAGTCCACCACCAAACAATCGCCAATTGTAATTTTCTATAATGATCCTAAGCCTCCCAAAAAATCTATAAATACTTCCGCCTAATAGAAAAAATTCATGCAACTTCAAATATATCCTTCCTAAATAGTGATTCCACCCTTTGCTCAATTTAAGAATCAAAGTCAATGAGTTTAAGAGGAGAAAGCCTTGGCCAGGTAAGAGGAATTTATTAATCAAAATTCAACCGTCAACAGATTGGCGCCATCTAGGAGAAATTTGAGGAAAGAAAATCTCAAATTTATCTATTTGAGTTAAGGAAACGTCTAAATCTACAGATGATGATCCAAGTGGAAGAGAAAATGTTAGAATGGGAATGGAAAAGCATAGCGAGGGTTTTAAGGACAATGATATGAATCCAAAATGACGGCCGAAAGAAATGCCATCAAAATAATACACTGGCTTTTTCGCTGCTTAGCGGCTCGCTTATGGAAAAATAAGTCCACATCAAAACTATACAAGGAATGGAGAAAAATCTCATGATACTAACAGCTGAAAATGAATATCTGAGCACACGACTTTAAAGTTTGAAGGCAAGTTGGCAAGGGAAAGGTGGTGGAAGTGAAATGGAGCTCGTTGCTAACTTTTTCTCTTGGAGCAGCAACAACTCGCAAATACTGAAAACCTATGATAATATGCCGAAGAGGAAACGGTAAGAGTGGCAGATGAACAACCCCGCCCTAAAGAGATCTGAATGCTTGTGAACTAAAATATAACCAGCACAATCATCACGAGACTCGAAGAGCAGAAAGCTCGATCAGCTAGTATAATGTACATCTGTATGGGAAATATGAAGACCAACCTGAAATAGAGAAACGAGAAATCATAGGAACGTTAGTTAAGGAAGAAGGAACTGATGGGAAATTATTTAATTTGTCAAGTGGGTCGACATATGTATTTGATTGTGTATAAATGTTATCTTAAAGTTAAGCTCAAAATTAAAATGATCTAATAAATAGTTAATTAATTGGGTTTTGGGTATCTAAATAAAGTGTGGGCCGGACTACATGTGTAAAGACCGGATTCATTAGGGTTTGTATTTGACGATGAACCGAATACATATGGAACTATATAAGGGGTTATGGTCCCCAATTCATATGCGATTTTCTATTTCTTCGTGTCATTCCATCAACACAAGAATACAAGAGAAAACATATTGAAGATGATCCATAAACCCACAATCAAGAATCAAGAAGAAGGTTTGAAGCAATCAAATTGAAGATTTAAATATCAAAATTCAAGATTCATTATTCAAGTTAGAAATCAATGGATCAAGGTATGTTCCGCATTAATTTAGTTTCTTGGTGATTTGACATGAAGATCTTGACAAGTTTATAAAGTTTAAGTTTCATGAAAAGTTTCAAGAAGTGGTATCAAAGCCAATTCATGTTAAATAATTGAGAATCGAAATTTTAATTTCGTTCTTTTGATAATTTCGTTATTTTCGAATTTAGCAATACGGATTTATCATTTATTTTTGTTAAATTTGAAATTTTTTCGGCATTGGATCAAGCTTTCAAGTTCAGTTTTTAATAATAATAATAATAATAATAATAATAATAATAATAAT